CTGTGAGCGCATGTGTGTGAGCGCAAAAAAAGAGATAGAAAGAAGAGTGAGTGAGAAACAAATAGAACGAGAGAAAGAGAGAGAGAGAGAGAGAGACGAAAAGAGACAAATAAAGAGATAAAGATCTAGCTATATATGATAAAAAAAGATGAGAGAGCTGAAAGAGCAGGGAAGAGAAAACAGAGATAAACAAACACACACAGACGAACACATACTGATACTAACATCTTCTCTGCTCAAGCCAAGACTTGTCATGTTTTTAGCCTCATGTATCTTGGTCTTCAGCTCAGAGTTCAGAGAGGTCAACTGGTTTTGTTTCCGTGTAACGTCATCTGCAAGTCGCTCCAGATCTTTGGAGGCATTTCCGCGCTTAAATTCTACCACCATCAGGCCAGACCTGAGGACATACAAGAAACAAAACATTTGTGAGGCAGCGTGGTGAAATCAGGCGCTCGTTAAAATGGTGAATTCAAAGAAAATGGCATTTTTCTGACCTGAGGGCAATTTTTTTCTATTTTTCTTTTTTGGCTCAACGCCTTTTAAATCCGTTTAAAAGCACATTTCTGTGTCAATTTTACTGAAAAACACCGATTAAAAATACAAAAAATGTCAATTTTCAGTTTCCAAGGACTTTCAAGCTATGGAAATTTCCAAATTTTGCGGCCATTTTCTCGCCAATTTCACCCCTGAAACCAGTTGACATGGACTTGCTTCAGTTGCAAATATTTCAACTTCTGTTCAACATAAATATATATTTTTTCCACCTAAAGCAAGGCAAAAGAACAGGCTTTAAGATGATACCAATAACCCTGAATGCCCCAAAATTGACGAGTGCCTGATTCCACCACGTCCCGACACATTTGTTAAAGAGGTATTATAACAATTAGGATTGAGACTGAAGGTTCTTTCAGTCATTTACAATAAAAGTTTGCCCTCCTAATCAGACTGTTGTATTCTACCGCGTTTTTCACCGACTGACTGACTGACTGACTTTCTCACTCACTCACTCACTCACTCACTCACTCAATCACTCACTCACTCACTCACTCACTCACTCACTCACTCACCCACTCACTCACTCACTTACTCACCCGCGCACCCTGTCTATCTTACTTCCATTTTTTACTCCTAATCTCTCTCACTCACTCACTCACTCACTCACTCACTCACTCACTCACTCACTCACTCACTCAACCAGTAACCAACCAACCGACCAACCAACCAACTAGCCAACCAATGTATAACAAACCCCCACCCCCTTGTGAAAGAATAAAGAAATATTCAATGGATGAAGGAAAGAAAGAAGGATATAGCAAATCAATCAACAAACTCACTTAGCGTCTTCAGTGAGTTCCCTGGCGTGTTTTAATTCGGACTCCGCTTCTCTCAGTTCTTTCCTTGTGAGGTGCAGTGCCTGGCGAACTGTCTTCAGCTCATGACCTGCTAACTGTGGACACATCAACTTATTTATTTGTTTGAGTAAAAAGAAAAAAAAAAACATGTGAGGGATCACGATGAAATCAGGCGCTCGTCCCCCCCAAAAAAACAACAACAACAACCCAAAAACAAAACAAAAATGAAAGCAAAGAAACTGGCATTTTTCTGGTCGTTGGGCTCTCCTTTTCCAATGTTTTTTTTTTTTTGCTCAACATCTTTTATTCCTATTAAAAAATTTTCTTGCTTATTTTTGATCCTGGCGCGAGTCGATCCCCATCTCCTTCAATTACAAATATCGCAACTCCTTTTCAAGATAGACGGGTATTTTTGCGGTCAAAAGATGATACCAATAACTCCATACGCCCAAAAAATGACGAGTGCCTGATTCCACTGCGTCGAGACACATATAATAACTGTCAATCAGTGCAGGATTTATAGAGAGAGGCAGGCAGACAGAAACAACAAAGAGAAAGAAAAAAAAAGAGCTGGAGCTACCATCATCGTAACCTCCATAACTTACCACCATCATTACCAAAACTTTTATTATCATCGCTCCCAACAACGTCATTACTATAATCATCGTTACCAACATTTTAATCTTCATCATTACCAACATTGCAATCATTACCGGTACCATAGTCGCAACCATATGAAATTCAAATCATATTGACATATTCAAGGGCACTCAAAGGAAGGGGCGCATGAACTGCATGTAAAAACCTCACAGTCGTGCGATTATTTTCCGAAAATACACTCTAAATTAAAATTTTAAGTGTTGTTGATAGGTATAGTGGTAAAAAAATCAGTTTTTTGTTCCTCCTGTAAAATAACCCCCCCCCCC